CCAAAATACAACCTAGTAGTCTCGTATGGAGACCGAGAAGCAGACGCGATGGCTCACGTATCAAAATAACGCGGTCCAAAGAATCAAAAAGATCCATGGCATGCTCCTGTAGAGAGATTCTGCATATCTTTACTCTGGAAAGTCTGAACAAACTGTTGGCATGGCGCTCGCCCGGCGACTGCTGAGTATATAAACCTCTCCAGTCCACACCTTTTCTTCCCACTTCATCAACATATCCACACGATTATTCCCCAAAACGTGAAATACAAGACGCCATGTCTCCAAAAACCGGGGCATCATCTTTACATGTGCCCTCTTCCAACTGTTCCTCTTTCCAGAAAAACAAAACGCGTTACCAGGCAATGTCATGAGTGCGGAGAAGAGTTGTCAAAAAGCCATTTTAGGGCTTACCATGGATACTAAAGTCAGTCTGGAATGATTTCATGTGAGAAAAGAGGACCAACTTTCTTCCAAAACGGCAATCGACTTCCACATGGCCGACGGGACCTAAAAAGGTTTGCTAGACAAAGTCATGTCTTCCGCTCCGGGGTGTGTTGTGGCACCAAAAAATCGTCAGAGATCTCTTCATGAAGAGTGAGCAGTGTCGCAAAAAGTCCAGGAGAGCTGTTTGTGATTCTGTCAGAAAAAACGAAGCCCCACATGTAAGCTCCGTTTCGGGATTCCCGTCGTGTATATAAAGCCCCGTTTCTCCAAGTCTTAGACACTATACCACCTTGCTTCTTATTCCAAAACCATTGTGTTCCGGGACTATGTGTCCAGAAATGGATAACAAAGCATTCCATGGAGAGGAGAGTCGAGAGAAGAGTCTACACGAGCGATTGAAGGAACAAATCTCGTTTTTTGGACGGCTATGTCATGTCCTTCAGTGCTGCGGAGTGTTAAGATGGCGCATGGCCCATTTCTGAGACATCGTTTCAAAAGCACCCGCCATGTTATTCATGTCTCCATTCCTCTGGAAGCCGACCGAAGTCTTGTTCAAACATAGTCTCCATAACCATGTATCTGCGATCCGGTGCTTATATCTCGAAGACACCACCCATCCCCACCCTAACATCCACAAAGTCCGGTCTCCACCCCTTATACTGCACAAGCCCCCTCTTGACCTCCCTGACTCTCTCAAGCCTCTTCTTGCCCTCCTCTTCTTGCGCCTGCCTAAACGCATCCTCATCAATCTCAAATTCGTCCAAACTACCCAGGCTCTCTTGTCTCGGCTTCGGCTTGCTCGCCGCGTCGCTTCGTCGATGCGCGGGGTTCTGACCGGTGAAGGCTGAAATGCCAGACTGAATGACGTCTTGGAAGGACGAGTGTGTGCGGTTGGGGAGGGCTTGTCGGGATGGCGCTCCGGAGAGGTCGACGTCGTCGAAGCTGTTGGAGCTGTTGTAGGGGTGTGAGGCGTCTGCTTGGTCGTCGATGGGGGGTTGCATGTCGCGGCGACGGTCGCGCCATACGCCACGGCGGAGCTCGAAGTTCTCTTCCTCGAGCTCGCGCACTTTAGCGAGGAGACGGTCGCGCTCTTCGTCTAGGAGCTCCTGAACACTGGAGTCTTCGATCGAGCCGAGATCTGCCTTGCGACGTCGCTGCTCGGCCTCTCGAAGGCGCGCGTTCTCGTTGCTGAGGCCTGTTATGCGGGTTCGTAGCTCGGTGGCTTCGCGCTCGATCTTCTTGTGCTCTTGCAGACGCGTTTGGTTTCGTGAGTCGTTGTCGCGGTGTAATTGTGTGAGGGTTTCGATCTTCTTCTCAAGCAGTTCTGCGCGCGAGACTGAGTCTGAAGCCTTGCGGTTCGCTGTGCCCAGCTCAGCCTCTAATTGTGCAATGCGTGTCTGCGCAGAGTCGCGATCCGAGCCATCCTTCTCTGCCTGGTCACCAGCCTTGTCCAGGCTCGCCTTGAGGTCCTGTAGCTCAGTCTTCGTCGAGCTTGCTTCTTGTTCCGCCCTTTGCACTGCAGATTCCAGGCTTGTGATCTTCGACTGAAGCTCGTTGTTCTTGTTCGTTTGCTCTGACAGCTGTCTGTTGACGTTCGATATCTCCAGCTCGAGTGACTCGATAGTCGCAGACTTTGAAGCGACCTGCGCGTTCAGATCGTCGATGGATGCGCTCTGGCTAGGCGATGCGGTCGACGTACGGCGTATGGACTTGTTGCTCTGCGTTTGCGCCTGCGCAAGTTGTCTCTTGAGCGATTCGACTTCGGCTTTCTAGACCGTGGGTCAGTATTTCGTCATACGCTCCAATGTGCCCGTATGCATACCAGCTTGTCAGCCTCCTTGCCCTTCTCCACCGCGAGCGCAACATCGCCTCTGCCTTCTCGCAGCTCCTCCAATTCTTCCTCGCCCTTCTTCCATCTGGTCTGATTCTCTTCAACTTCGCTTGCCAGTCGCTTGTTCTCCTTCTCGAGCTCCTCAATCTTCTGTGCTTGTTCCCGGTAGACCTCGCTTGCAACCCCTCCTCCAGGCGACAGAGGCCCACCAGCGGCTCCCGAGCGGTAGAAAGATTCGGAGCGCTGTCGCGAATCAACAGCGACTGAAGGCTTGCGGCCGTGCGACGGCTTAGGTACTGCTAGCTCTGAGGGCTCGTCATCATCCTCTGCTGGCGGCTCTGGCACGCTTGTGGCTTCTACGGGTTCCGGCGCGACCTGTTCGGGCTTCTCTTCGGGAGAAGTTGCTTCGGTCGGGGTTTCAGTCGACGCTTCGGCTTCGGCGGGTTCCTCAGTCTTGTCTCCCTTCTTCTTTCCTCCACCCGCCTTCTTCGCCTTCTGCTTCTTCAATTGTTCATACTATGCGTATTTGTCAGTATCGTCTCAGCCGTGATAAATCTTTTGAAACTTGGGCTAGGAGAAGACACCATTTCCAACTGCATCTGAGCAATGGCAGCCTTTAGGAAGTAGAGAGACCCGTAGAGGAAAGACGTACGCGTTTCTTCGCCGCTGCGATCTTCTCCGCCTTCTCCTTCTCTTCGTCTGCCATATTTCTTCGCGATCGTGTTGACGTGTTTCGGGGTCTGGAGGTAGCTGTGGAGCTGTGGAGCTGTTGAGTAGCTGTTGCGGGGAGCTCCAGTCGTCACTGCTCGGTCATGCCAACTTGCCCGCACCGCGAAAGCACGCTAACACGGAACGAGACTAGCTGCAACTCGATGCGCATTTGGGTCTGCTGTGTGAAAGGGACTTTACTGCTGAGAACATCGAGAGATTTGATACCTTGATGAGACTTTGAGACATGTAGAACATTTATCCATAATCCAGGTTGACTACGACAGCGCCGACTGGAGTACTTCGGACCTACAACACGCATTCAAAGATGGTATACGTATTATCTGAGTGTACCGGTTGGCATCTCAAGGCCACCGAGAGATGTCTTTTACTCTTTCGTTCTATACTCCAGTCTACTCTGTGGCTCGTGAAAGTCCACGCTTCCACTTACTTCCATACTGCCCTTACCCGTCCTCCATCAACCCCACACAGCACAACCCCAAAGACACATCTCTCCGTCTCCCCTAGCAACGCACCCCAAACACCCTCACCAGCACAGCCTCAGCACCACCCCTCGCTTCGCCATCTATCCCGCACCCCAGATTCTGAAACACTAAACCCGCTCTCGCTTGACTCGTACCTGCATCGCGTCACTCACCTTGACTCACTAATCACCACCTGACACTCCCGAGGTCCATCTACAAATTAAATGATCACCGCCGCCCCTGCATATCCTGCCAACCCCACATGCACAACCTCCAACACCGATAAATGAAAGTGCGGGAGCGAGAACAGGAACAGGAAAAACGGTCGGTCCCCGGCCGTTCTAATTGATGAACGGCAATCCTTCATACAACAGTGCGCAACCCTCGGCGCGGAGGTTTCAGCATAATGGGGGCGCGGCTTTCGTAACGACGGTCGCATGTCGCTTCCCGCACGCACTCTATGTCACTTTACACTTTACCGTTTAGACGGCGTGGTCTGACTAAGTCCCTGCCGTGCATGTGCGCCGTGGCGGCTCGCTCGGGGCAAGTGAGATGAAATCTTGGTTCTTGTCCCGCTGTCACGCGGGCGATGTGGTAGATTGTGAGGCCAGTGCGCGATAACGGCTTTGCATGAGCTGGTGGCCAGTTCGCGCTGGTTGTCCTGATAACGGATAGTGATGTGGACAGGCATGTTGGCGTCAGAGACATATTGCAGCGGCTCAAGGTAAGCGATGGATGAAGAAGAAGCGAGATTTGCATTGTCACGAACAAGCGGGAGAGTCACTACTGCAGTGATTTCGAGAGTCACGAGAGAGAACACAAGGCCATGTAGATGATTCATAGTTTGATTGTTTTTTCAAGATTGCAGCCATTCATCCAGCTCAACCCACTATCTATCCTTTCAAAAGCTCATGGTACAGATTGCCCAACGAGATTTGTGCCGCCATGTTCAAAATACATGTGTCCCACCATCCTCAGCTTACTACAGCATACCCTGATGTATGTACTGCTTCATAATAAACGACTGTCAAGAAAATGAAGTAAAGAAAGAGTCCTGTCGTGAAATGTCTGCCAAAGGGCAGAATCGACCGTCTCTGAGAGAGCGTGTGGACGGTATAAGCAAATATATACCTCCAATAGAGTGTGGAGCAAGGAAATTGAATGTGCGGTCGGTGTATGGCTACCGCCACAGTGAAAACCAGTCAAAGTATGCCAGGTGAGGTCCCATGCAATGATGCAAACCACAGAAATCCTAGAGACTCGTCCTCCTAGTACTCGTAAGGAAAGAGATGCTGTTCAATGAGAGTAAGAAAAAGTCCGGTTCGCGTATGCATCGCAGGTTGGTAATGCGCCATTAAATATTCATCGCTTGTAAACTCCGTGGTCATGCGAGAGGAAAGAGGTGATGTATGTGCTCATGGAAGCACAGCCATAATGTCATATGATGTGGAAACAGCTACTAGAAAGCAAACTGCAAATCGTCGGTTGAGGCAAGAGCCAAAGATGTACAAGTCGTGACAATGATGAACACTTCAGGTCTTTGATGGGGAGGAATCTCGGGTGTGCTGGAAGAACTTTTTCAGTCTGCTTCCGATGTTCTTCTTCTTCTTGTCCTTGGTGGGCTCGCGATGTTCTGACTGAGGACGCTGCTCAATGGAAAGCTTGCTGCGCTCGCTGAACGAGGAAGAAGAAGTTCCCATCAGCCTAGAGAGACTAGCAATGCTAGAGCGCTTGCGACGGCGGGACTCAATCTCACTGGGATCAGAGGAGAGAGACGAGGTGCGGTCGCCAAATCGACGGGGACTGACGAGCGGGAAGGCGTTCTGCATTGCACTGGTCATCGTCGACCTGGAAGAAGTCAGAGACGGGACCTCCGTAGAGATGCGAACTTCAGGTCCAGGCTCGCCAAAGCGGGGAGAAGGCATCACGGGGTAGTCTGTCATCGAGGAAGCTGCAGTGCCTCCACGGCCGTTATCGAACGAGATCTGACTGGATCGGCAGTCTGGCGAGGAAAATGAAGAAGTAACCGTGTCGGGTGTCATGAGACTTTGTTGACCCAGTGGGAGCGACAAGTTCATGGCGGGTTGATGATGCTTTGGCGAATCCTCCATTGGCTGGGCGGTGACAGTGGAGTCGGACGAATGTGTGAGTGATGATGTGCGGGGCTCCTCATGATCTTCCACAACTTCAAAAGGCTCTGAGGCCTGCGTTTGCTCAGAGACGTTCTCGCTGGACTCAGCAGGCACTGCTCGAGGAGACAGTGGCTCAGATGCATCAACGTCGTCGTGCTTCGCAGTACGCTTGATGCCAAGTCCGTCGTTGAAGTTCCAGTTGATAGCAGTGCCCTCCTGCTTCGCATCTGCCTCCACGACCGAGATCTTCGGCTCTTCGGGTTCTGCAGCAGTAGACTTTGCCTTTGCAGGAATCGCCAGAGTCAGGTCGTCTTCTGGTTCCTCCTCTTCGAACACATCGGCCATAGGCGAAGCATTAGCAACTGCTGATGGTCGGTTCTCAAAGGGTACCAATTCAGGTGCGCTCTCCGTCCTCCTGTGCGAAGGTGCAATGCCGCCAGCACTGTGCATGGCTCGTCGATGTGCCGAAAAGCCCCGCTGGTGGGTTCGAGGGCTCGTGCCATTGGGAGTGTTGAAGGGTCCAAGTGCGGCATCAAGGTCGATCACCGGGCTCATGATGTCAGAATCAACCCGTTTCAGCTCACGTGGTTGCCACGAAGCGTAGTCGGTGTCAATCTTCGGCAGAGGAACTGAGTTCTCGGTGGGGGAGACGATGGTGACTGTGGTGTCATCATCAAAGTTGGGCTCAAAGTCCATCTCGTCTGATTCATCGGAGTCTTCGGTGTCCATGCCCGCATATGGTGGTGGTGTGGGAGATCGTGCCTTGGCCTTTTTGCTGTGCTTTCCTTTCCTGGTGATGATGGAGTTTGCCCATGACTTGACTTTCCGGGGCTTGCGACCGCTTTTGCGCGACGCAGCTTTCGGCTTTTCGGCGACCTCTGCTGAGTCGTCATCTTTAGTGGGTGATGCTAGAGGTGTGTCGAAGGATTTGGAGAGGGCAGGATCGGAGGCACTGGTAGGAAGGGTAGGAACTGAGTTATCACTGCGATCCTTTTGGAAGAGACTGCGTCGCTTGGCTTGCACTTTCGGGATTGGCGCAGTTGGGGAGATGGGGGAAATGGCGGACGTGGGTCGCTTGCGTTCCATGACCTCACCATTTAGGCGGCTGCCCATGAACTTGTCGAGCACCATTCCAGCCGTGCTTGGTCGGTCCTCGTCTTCAACTGTGTTTAGGGTTGTGCTAGGGCGTCCTGGTCGCACAGGCGCCGGGCTGCTGCAACTGACAATCGAGGACAGGCTGTTGGCAGCTGAGTGTCCCCTGATGGTTGAAATTTCAGTCTCGGAAGAGATGGTGGAGAGCGGACGAATGGTCTCGATTCTATCGGAGAAGGTAACACGGGCCCTTGATGGTGGTCGCGCCTCATCGTCTGCGCCGTTTTCGCGTAGCGAGGGTTGCGAGACAGATCTGTTGAACTTGTGGCCGAAAGCGAACTGGTTGCCCTCGGAGGGTGTGTTGGGCGCGCTGCCCGTTCGCGCTGGAGCAGGTGGGTTCATGATGGTTGTGAGGTCGTGAGAGGAGATGGCACCCGAGCGACGATGAGCGTGTCCGCGACGACCCGCTGGCGGACCCGGACGCAGTGTCGAACTTGGTGTAGGAAGGACATCTTCACCCTTTGTCGGGCTGCTGCTCATCAGGGCGGTGCCGCCAGGTCGTACGTCACCGCCAATGAACTCGCTGCCCCCGCGTCTGTGGCCATGTGCCGGCTTTGACGGCGATACTGGTACAGGCAGTGTCGCCGGTGACTGTGGTGGTGAAGATTCGATGGTAGCTGGCTTTGCTGGTCCTGCCGGATTGAAGGAAAAGTCTGGTAGAGCGTTGATAGACTTCTGTCGGTAGTGCGGCATGGAGCCTCGACGACCAGCTGGATACGCTTGCAGGGACATTGGCCGCGAGTTTGTGGGTGCAGGCTCTGAAGAGGCGGTATCTGGTCCTCGCATGGGGAAGGAGAATTCCGGGTTGGGGATGAGCTCAATGGGGCCGGCATTGGAGTGTTGTCGACGCTGGTAGAGCGGTGAGCCAACACCAGCTTGCGACTGTGTAGCCCGGTGTCGTGGCAGGGCAATTTCGGCCATGGTGAACTACTAGCTGCCCTGTCGGACGCAGCGATCTGCGACGATGGGGCTTGACGAGATTAGAGATGGTACCGCCAACGGACGCGCAGCACAATGCTTAATGTGCGAGCTAGACGGGCGGTGCGTTCCAGGGACAGCTTGCCGGACGCGCGAGGACAGAGTGTGGTTGGACGGGTGGGGAATGGGGTGCTACAGGCGTGGGCACAGCGGGCGTGAGACGAAACAAGCGCTGTCGAGGTACAAGAGCTGACGCGATTACTACTGACACATAACAGTCAGCACGCGCAAGAGCAGATTGCAGGACCGGCTGTGAGGTTGTGCGAGGCGTACAGTATAGGTCGAGGTAGTGCTGCGGGCGGAGTGGGCAAGTCGGTAGGCTGCCGTGGTAGTAGTCGCAGTGAGTGAAGCCAGTACACCCAGGATTAAGGAATGACGGGGGAAATGAGCGGACAGATGCCTAGAGTCGCCTCAATTAGTGTGAGTAACGACAATGGGCTCCAGAGTGAGGTTCGGCAGGGCGCGACGGGGACGACGGCGAGGTGGTGACGGTGAATTGGCGGAGGTGGGTGGGAGACGAGCACCAGGGCAACTGTCGCTTTTGTCGGTCGTTCCTTCCCAGGCGGGCTCCACGCTAGCACGCACCACCACACCGCGCAGGGATCCCCGGTTCGTGCTTTACCCATGCTAATCGTTGTCTCCCTCGTAATTTCACGCCTGATCCACACGATGCCGCGACGCGCTGCCAGGTACCAGCCAGGCACCTGTCGCTATGTGTTGCTTTTGCGCGCACGTCAGTCGACCGGTTCCCGCACAATACAACAGAGTGCGCCGTCGCAGGGCCATCCCTCCGCGGCAGCCTCACACGTGTAGGAGTCACGCCTCGATGCCGGGGCGACGTGGGAGCAAACCCTTCCAGCGCTCTGCACAACCATGATGTAGCAGTCCCATCGGTTAACCAATGCCTGCCGATAGTCTGCTAGAGTCGGCCGATAGCTGCTTAGCCTCGTGTAGTTTGCCAGTTCAGTTCCCACCAGGTTCCAAGGAATCAGCACTATCTGTACAGCGTCACGGCACTAGCGACAGCCCGCTACAGTACAATCTCATAACGTGTGCGTGACAACTGTCCAATAGCTACGTGGTGCCTCGCGTGCATGCGGCTCTCTAAGTCTGCCGTTGCTGCCGTCGAGATGCGCACTGCAGTCCTGGCTCATATCGTCGACCCTTAGGCGCTGCAGGACCCCTCTCCTTTGAGGCGGCTGCACGCGATATGCATCGTCTTCGCTCTGCTTGTCCATCTTCTCCCAGTGCGTCTTGGCTACATGCCGCCAGCCGACCCCTCTCCACTAACAGCCTGCCTTCCCGCAACCAACCATCGGGCAGCGCGGCTAACAATCAAATCGCAGCGCTGCTGCTTCCGCTGCATGTACCGCAGCTGGCACTACCTGCCCACGCTCCCACTCTCCCCATCCGCACTGCCCGACCTGTTCACGCACACTCGGCCTCGAGACAGAAGGATGCGCACTCGATGTTTCACAGCACCCGTTCGAGGTGGGGCTGCGCACCCCGGCACATGTATGGCCAAGCGTGCATTTGATATGCAATTCGGACCAATTGACTAGACTACACCCGTTTGATCCTCGCTATGCAGGGGCAATGACGCCTCGCTATCCCCCTTTGGAGCCATGACGGACGCTCGTCCTCGCCACCATAAATAGGATGTGATAGACGAAATGCGGAGAAGCGGGATGCCAGAGGCAAGATGCAAGGCTTTGTTGCCGTCCGACGCCCACATCCTGCCGATGAGGAAGGTCGAGCGCCAGAGAGTTGAGCAATGGTTTCCACGATACTGAACAGCTCAAGAAGTAAGCCATCTCGGATCCGGACCTGCGGACCTACTATAAGCACCTCCAGGTATGCGGAGACAAGGAGCAGATACAGATCTGCTCAACCCTACTGCACCCATGCTGTACATACAACTTTCCCTCCATTACTGATAGGACCGGCCTGGGCTTCGAGGCGCAACAAGTTCAATACCCTGTGTGTCTCATGCCGCCACAACGGGGCTTGCGGACTCGGCTTCGTACCACATGGCCACTTCGTCCCGGTCTTCTTCAGATAAGAATCTGAAAACTCCCAGAGCTTCATTGCCTTCGGGTCAGGGCAATCTAGTCGACATGGCCCTGCATGCACGATACTGCATTGCTGCCCCATTCGACGCATCGACATTGCAACTCCTTGCGCTTTCTAGAAAATGTTCCGGCTCGCACCTGCATGTGGAGATAACGATGTTGCTTCGCACGCTCTAGGGTTTGTGCAATCTGGACATGCTCGGCCTCTCCATTCCTCATCGCTTCCCTTCCAACCAAGCAGACTTGCGAATCAGTCGCAATATCCTCCGACGTCATAAACATGGAGTCCCATGTCTCCCGCCGTCTGCATCATCTCCAATGATCTCCAGGGTCCATCTCTCATCGGCGCAATGCGCCGAGCTACGTCCCGCAATTGAAAAACTCGACTTCATTTTTCTTGATCCACGGCTTCCTGCCATTTGCAGAGAGAAAACATTGCTGCCAAGGCCCCCATAGTGAGCATGATTGCGAGGATACGACGATTCCAATCTTGAAACGAGTCCGAAGGTTACCACGTATCGCGCCGCTCGGTACTAACGACCCGATCTGTGGAGCGTAGTGCACACAACGGCTGTCCTTGTGACGACCATCGCAACGCTCACGCTGCGCCGTCGAATTTAGATCTGTTCTTCTTTTTTCCGATCGCGTGTCGAGTGGAGCGGTGAACGAAAAAGCATCGTGCAACAGAGGTCATCCCCTCATTCTTGGGTACAGGACCCGATAGCTTCCTCCAGCATCCACGCACCGCGCCTCAGCTTTCTCGAAAACTCTACATACATAGAGTCGTTCGTATTATTCTTGGAATTGCGCAAGCGCGATCACTATACAAGAGCTATGGCGCTGCACAGCCACGGCGCTGCTCCACAACATGCGAACGTCTCCGGGTCAGCCCATTGGTTTGCACGCGCCAAACTCCCTGCACCAAACCTTCCGCTGGCGCCCGCCGACGCGTCGTTACTTGTCAGTGTCAAGCAGCGTCGTATCGTCAACAACGGCCTCTATGACGCGTGGCTACCAAACTGAAGTCAGGGGCAAAGTCGCGCCTGCCGATGTACGATGAGATGGACAGCGGAGGTTGCTCCATCCGACCATCCACAATTCCCAGGCTACTCCGACTCTTGGAAGTATTGTTTCCTCTGGCCAGGTTGCGAGGCGTACGGAGACCCAAAATTGCGAATCTCGTTTCACGTCTGTTTTGATCCTCAGGAAGGACGAAATTGGCAATCTCCGGCCTGTCTTTTGCCCTCTTGCCCGAAGGGGGAAGCGCACTGAGATTTGCCGGCACTACAGCCAATAAACATTCCGCCGCCACAGCTGCGCCTCCCCTGCTTGAACACCACCTGACAGCCACACAGACAAACCTCAGACCCGAGCGAAGCGAGCATTGTTTTTTATCCTGAGCAATCGTCATAATGCCACGAGCACCATCGGCACATTCGCTGGCTTGACGTAGCCCTGCAACCAAGGCAACGAGTACATGCGGGAAATTGCGCTGCTAGGTGGGCCGGGTAATTTGCTGGCTGTACACGAATGCAATCCCTCACCCAGCGACGTGTACACAACGAAGGAGCGCCGCCTGGGTCCGCAGAGCCGCACTCTCGATATGCTTACAGCCAACCACGCGCATTCCCAACAGAAAAAAGTTCATCGTGCTGTAAACCACTCAGATGGTCGTCCAACGTGATCTAAATGCCGTTCGTTGCCTCCCGCTCGCTTCCGGCTGTTCGACCGGTCCAAAGTCTAGGCCGCCATCTTCCCCAGACGAACCAGATGCTTCAACCCCACACCCTACTACCTCACCTGAAACCATCGCCTACGTACCGGCAGTTCCAGACGCAGAGAAAAGCATGGCTTCATATCTTCAGACCACTGCTCACCGGAATGGCGACCGATTTCCAACGATCAGCGTCCTGCACTGCGGTATTAGCAGATCTAGTCAACATCAGCATGCATGCAGTCTCTTTGCCCTATACTTGGCTATCGGAGCTCTGGCCAGTTGTCGCAGGAGCTGATAGTTCAGCTTTAGCTACTACCACCGACCCCTCGATTGCGCACCCCTCTTTCGCTAAGGCATACTGCAACGAGACGAGAGTGACAGCTGGTTGAGGCACGCCGGAGGCAGCGCCACTTCGTGACGACCTCTGACCTGGAACCCCGCAACGGAGTGACCGATGGTCGCCTCTGATGTTGTCCCGGTTAGGAACCTTATTGGTCGATTGTACACCTATACAGTTAGCAGGAAACCATCCGGCACTCGATGGGAACTGCAATTCAGCTCACACCACCTGTTTGGTGATAAGCGCGATAGGTTTGTCGTTGGATCTGACTGTACGCTTCCGAAATGAATCCTTTACATGAAAACTATGCAAGGGCAAAGCGAAGTTACCAGGACCCGCGCGCCAGTCAGCACCACGTTTCGTCCAGCTCTCGTCAGAAGGCTATCTTGCTTCCCACAGCTCGTCAGCCTGCATGGAGGATTGCAGCAAAGCGCCGAGCTCACTTGCGACGTGTACGAAGAACAATCCTTCATGCACATCCAACGTAGCGGGGGTGGGCAAGCATGCTTAGGCGAATTCATGCATATTCAGCTAATTGGTTCTATTCATGGCTAGGTCACCCGACCCATCCTTCCCATCGTCATCATTTGAGGTTGACTCAGGGATCTTGCCCTAACTTTGCGCCTCTCTTTTCACGTCGTTCAGCTACTCGAAGAACAACGCGTGCCCGAACAATTACCGGAACTATTTGCTGGGCCCATCAGTACGGCTTAACGAATGTCCACCCTATACCAGTTCTCTATTCGAGACGCGGGGCTCGCTGAAGGTGACGACTCCTTTATCATCTCAGTTTTTGATGCATCTCTCCCTTATCTGGAATCAATCGGGAGCCTAGCGCAATGGGGCTCAACTCCCTTTTCACAACGACCAGGTTGGGTTGAAGAAACGCAACGGCAGGTCCGAGAATCGAAGCACAGTCAAATCTCGGATACAACGGATGCCCTACGCATTCTTATTGTCGAAGCCGAACTCGTAGAGCAGGCAATTGCAGCTCCTGATCTGAAAGATATGCACTCGCGCGTCTCCGACGATGGGCGCTGTTTTGTGTCTGTCGGCTTTGCGTTCGTCCGCGGAAAGTGGTTCCCTACCTATCTTCCTGCAGCGACAATCCCACAAGCTGGACAATTCAAACTCGAAGAAAGTTTGTATGTTGAAGTCATGGTTAGCGATAGCCGTACGAAGGATCTATTTCGTGGGGTTGGAGCTGCACTTCTTCACGAGGTGCGGAACTATGGCCGTAGCCGGGGGAAGAAAGTTCTATACTTGGATGGCTGGGCAGGAAACGAGAGGAACTTAATTCGGTTAGTCTCTCCTCCCTGTTGTCACTGGAGCGCACCATGTGGTACTGATTAGAGGTTCTTTTCTTAGGTACTACGAGCAACAGGGCTTTCACATAATTGCTGAGTTCAGCCTACCTCGACCGCACAAGGAGCCTTGGGTCGGTAACCTGATGCAATTGACGATCTAGTACGGAAGGATTATGGTACAACGCTGAATGACAGGCAACATAGGTCATAGCGAGTCACGATTCTTTTTCTTCTATGTGGTGGGTGGTTACGAGCACTCATTGGACCCTCGACCCCTTGCATTGAAAGCGCTCGGATGGGAACCAATAAACAACAGGGTCGTTGATCGTCCCCTGGACACTAAGGAACCGCACTCTGCTCAAGCTCCCGGATACCGGAGCGGGTCTCAGCGGTTGATGGGCTAGAAGACTTCGTTGCGACAAATTACATGTTTTGTTTGTATGCAAGTCGAAAGTCGGCGCGAACGTAGATTTGCGGTGAGGTAAACATCACTCTCGAATTCGGAGCATCAATCTCGATCCCCCCAATCAATAAAACCTCACTCTGCAAACCATTCAAAAAGTACGAATACGCTGCCGTCGGCTCCATGGCGGCGATACTACCAGAAGGGTGTGTGGCACCTGACCATCACTGGTAGACGTTTTGGTCGCAGTAGCGCTGGGATGGGCGTCGCTTGTCCCATTCCATCGACCAAAAGAAAGCAGACATGCGGCACGGCAAACCTAATTCCTATCGATAAGGCGACCTCGTGGTTATACCTCCTGATCGGTGTACATCTTGACCCACGGTGGGACGTGTGCCTGGACTAGGGCGTTGCGCCACCAACTTTGAGTTTGCTGACACGAAAGACGATGATGAGGATATGCGTGTGATGAGCCGCTTCACGCTTAGCTGTCGACTTTGATGGCGCTAACGTATCTCGACATATGTGTACCAAAGTTTTGGAGGCCTAGCGATGTGCTATCGTACGCGAGGATGTCGACTTCGAAACGATGCGATAGCGTTGATAACATAGCGCCATGTTACTATCTATCGTAAGCCTATACGCGCTGGCCAGCTATAGCCAAGTCCCTATACCAAGATCCTCATCGGCGAAGACCGGAAGGAACACTTCATCTCCGACATGCGCATTCCTTCCAAAACCCTAAAACACGGTCTGATCACACCGGGAACTCTTTCTAGACCCTAACGGCCCGCATGGTTGGGGACAAAGGGACTTCCTGATGGGGATGTCGCTTGGATGAACGGCGTTTCTACCCAAGCGCTTGCTCCCGCTGGGTCCGCGCATCTAGTTCCAGCGGCCGTCCAACTGGGAATGAGGAGTTGAAGGGATGTCCTTTCTGGACGTAGTTTGATATGACGAATTCCCGTTGTATTGGCACTTAGGACATGCACTAGTGTCTACATCTTTGACCAGGTTCATGCGAATGATTAGACTACAAAACATGTGGTTGCCATGCTACGGTAGGCAGTAGTATTTGTGATGCTCATAGTTCATGGACTAACGCACTGTACACTGTGCATCCATGACAGTATCCCAACGAGACATTAGAAAGACTTCCGGGGAGTTATCAAAATATGGGTAGACAGAAGAACGAGTCAAACGCTATCCATATACCTTGAGTTGGTAGTCTCAACCTTCAAGAGAGAATATCTCATCCATTGCCCTCGTGGCGCCGAAGTCAATAAACAGAGGTCGCTACTACATACATACAAAACATCTTCGCGCGCTACACAGCCATTACTTATACACATGTCCTCCTCCCTCATCTCTCCGAACTCTTTTCCCACTGTATCCTCCTCCTTTGTCCTTCCCCTCCCTCTCATCCCTACTGAATCTCCCCACAATCCCGACAAATCAGCAACCACGGCCCCTTTGTCGCCCAGACTACTTTCCCTCCGCAATCTTCACAAGGGTCTTTCAGAATCATCACGTTCCCGTTCCTGTCTTTTTCTCCTTCGTCTTGGTAGTAGATACCTTTGTCGGTTTGCACGTACATGCTGTGATTATGCATATCCTGAGGCGAAGGAGAGGATCGTGAAGAGCAAGGTGAGGGTGTTGAGACGCCGCTGGTTGATGTGGGTGGTGTTAGTCGTGATGGTTTGGATGAGGGTGAGGGTGGAGGGGTGTACCTTGAAGTGGAAGTAGGGGTGGAGGTAGGAGTAGGGCTTGGGCATGTTGTACCAGAAATGCTAAGTATAACTGGGTTTGTATGGGCAGAACCATATACCGAAAAGTACACCTCAAGCGGCTTGGGTTTGCTTTGAGTGGACATGATGGTGCTTTTCGAATCGATGGCGATGTCAGTCATGCTGATGGTTCTGATCTCAGTGCTGGAGTTATTGGACGTCGCAAGCATATGCTTGAGCTGGGTTGCGAAAGCTCCCAGAGCACCACGTTGATATAGACTGTTGATACAACGGAGAGGGTCCGAGGGTCCGCTGTGTGTTGGGGCCAAACACGGTTGACTGACGATGAGGAAGAGTGAATGCGCAATGCTAGTATCGTTTGGGGACATGTTGAGCGACCATGCACGGATGTGTGGGTGGGAGTGACCGCACTCTCTACACTTTCACCAGATAAACCAGAAAGATCTCGAGAAGCAACTACTGGAGGCTAAACTAGCTGAACTAGAACTATCGAGATACTTTCATAGCACAGACTGCCTGTGGAATGGATATCACTATTAGAGTGATTTGGCACATGAAGCGATACGTAAAATGCCTTTGCCTTGATACATAATATAAAGACAAACGTTAAGCTATGAGAGACTACAATGGCGATGGGCATATATTCGGTAAGATGCGTTCTTCGTTACATCTATATTCTAATACCCCTTCTAGAGCGACACAAACTCAACATCTAGCGCCACATCCCACTCCAATCATCCCGTCATTCCACTCAAGGTGGACCCAACCATCCGCCGCATTGATAACCTAGCCAGATTAGTCGTTTGTCCGCCGCGCGAATTAGTTCGGAAACTGACATTCGAGACAGTTGACGTTGGTTTCCTCTGAGGTGGGCAGAGGTAGTGGGGCATCGCAGTGCCAGCAGTGGCCGAAAGAACCAGGTTCGTTGTTGGAGTTTGCTTCGTCGTCGGAATCATCGTCGTCGTCGGAGACATAGGGGATGAGAAGGTCGGTTTCTGATTCCGAGGTCTGCTCGTGTTCGTATGAGGTGTTTGGTGCAGTGTTGGCGGACTGTTTGGTTGGAGGGTTGGTTGGAGGGTTGGTTTGGGCTGTCATTGGAGGTTGTGTTCGCTTGTGTATATGGGATGTTTGTAGGAGAAGATTGGAGACATGGGGGCGGCATGACGGGCTACCGAAAAGCTTATGTATGTGGGTTTCGTGATGCACTCATGTATTCACAGTGGAGGCTTCGTGAAGCTGAAAGTCCAGCGAATGGCTGCATATACACTTCACTGTCAAAGTACTCACCTGTCGCGTACGTAGCGCTTCAGTCTGTTGAAGAAGCCAGTGCTGTGGTGAAGCCTGACACTACTTTGATTCCATGAACGAGCAGCGTCCATAAGTTGAAGACGAATGACCAAGAGTCTTCTAGGAGATTCATGCTGACATTCTACAATGTAGTAGAGTACCAGCAGTGAAGTGCACAGTATGGGTGTACATGGTGAATGGTCATATTTAGCAAATACCCTCCGAAACCTTCCTCCCACCACCACCCGAATTAGCACACACGAAGACAACTCGACCAAACGCCGACTACAAAAGACACATACACATATACAAGCAAACATCTACCACACGTACCCAACACTCGTACAACCCAAGATGAACAATTACACTGAACCAAGGGGCAAGGCCAGCTCGGGCGCACCAACGCAGTCATCGACAACATACCCCAAGGCAGAAGCCGGTGGAGTTGACCTGGCAAAATGCAAGAAGTGTGGTAAACCACTGGTATGCGCGAACTTGGGACGCCGCGGAGAGTTACTGAACTGCAAAGTATGCGGAGCGCTTGCGCCGTTTCCGTAATATAAACAGCAGCTAGTCGGTGGTTACTTATGGGCGAGCATGGAGTAGTCTGTGGACGCCTAATATATGTATGATTCAAATGTCATGGTCAGAGACATCTGAACATTGTATTTGATTTGAGTGATTCCGTTTCCTCATGTCCTTACGAGTCCCTCAACTCTGCAACAGCGAAGTACCCTTTACTCTCCACAACGCCCCTATCTTTGACAACAGCCGTGTATTTGACTACCCACTGCGGCTCTACATCGCCCTTGAGCCCGTCTTGATTCCCTTCTCCTGCCAAAACACCGGACCCGTTCTCTCCCGAACCAAGTATTTGTCGTAGCGTGCCGCGCGGCAAGATGTTGGTGCAGTCATTATGTGTCAGCAGCTCGATCTGCTGTTGCTTCGCATACAGTATCAATGGCTTAGGTACGACACAGCAGTCCCGTACGTTGATCTGGTTGACACTTGGTTTTATCTTGGTCTGCTCGAGGAACTTGGTCAAGCGCGCGACGCCGAATTCTGCAATTCCGAGTTTCGATACCAGACCCTCTGCGTGCAGTTTCTCGAGCGATCGCCATGTTGTTACCATGGTTTCTATGTCTTCTGGTGGTGCGCCGGCATCGGGGCAGTCGCCCGTGGTGTTTTCGGTTGTGGATTGTGTTGCGGATGGGGGCGAGGGCGGTTCATCGTCGTCATCGAGGTCGGAATCTTCATCGTCGGCGTCGAAGGATACGCCGGGGAAGCTGACGATGAGGAGGTCGATCGAGGATGTGCCCAGCTCTTTCAGCACTAGTTCTATCGCTTCTCGTGTTTGTGCGCAGCGTCTGTCGGTGGGTATGTTGGGGAGGTAGAACAGTTTGACTGTGATGTCGTAGGATTCTCGCGGTTCGGTGAGAGGTGAGGGAGTGTGTGTGGGTACGTAAAGGGCGGAGTCGGTCTTGGTGGTCCATGTTGTGTAGTCGGGTTTTGAGGGTGTTGGAGAGGGTTGGTGGGCAGCGAAGTTTGCGCGCAGGGAAGAGGTGAGTTCGGTGTTTGATTTCTCGAAGAAGGGTCGTCTTATCACGGAAGGACCACCGGACATGGTATTTCTGGGTTGTTAGGTAAGGCATTTGGAGAATTAGAGAGACATACGACGTAGATAGTACGAGCTTCATGATGGCAACCAGTCGTATCGCGCAATTATGACGCGAGATAGAACAGTTCTGACGAAAGAGCCTCCTATATTGTGTAGTGGTGACTCTTCGGGGGCATTCGAGATGCCGATGAAGGGTGAACGTTTGTCAGCGGGTGGGTCGTCTTAGGATAGCAGTCGCGTCGAATGTGCAGTAGCGCAGTTATTTTGTATCGCAAGGCTTTAGGCAATGATTAGTAGGGATGGGCCGAGAGCAGAATTGCTTGCGCGCATATGTCTACTGTCCAGACTTCGATGGTGATAGCGGGGATATGAGGGCGCATTGGCGTCTCAAAGTCGCGGGGCTGGCCTGTGACCGCCGATCGCCGAACCTAACATCTTTCCCCATTGCGCCAGACACAAGCTACCGCCATCTTCTCCTCACACGACACCATGACGATCAAGTAAGATGCACTTCCATACACTGCCAATAACGGACTATAGTGCTAACAGCTCAGGTACCTCATTCTGCTGTCCCGGCAGGGCAAAGTGGTTGGTCCCTCACCCTAGAATCTCAGGTCCCTTGCTGAAGCTCGCAGCGCCTAGCCAAGTGGTTCACCACCCTCGCCCCCAAAGACAAGGCCAAGATTGTCAAAGACGTCTCGCAACTCGTCCTCGCCCGCCGCACCCGCATGTGCAACTTCCTAGAGTACAAAGGTCAGTGGGTCCGGCAGGGGTAAGAGCTTCGCTAGCTCACACTTTCTCCAGACACCAAGATCGTGTATCGCCGATATGCCTCACTCTTCTTCATCGCCGGCTGCGACTCGACCGACAATGAGCTGATCACGCTCGAAATCGTCCACCGCTACGTCGAGCAGATGGACAAGTACTACGGCAACGTCTGCGAGCTCGACATCATCTTCAACTTCCAAAAGGCCTACTTCATCCTGGACGAGCTACTGCTTGCCGGTGAGATGCAAGAGAGCAGCAAGAAGAACGTGCTACGGTGTATCGGACAGCAAGACAGCCTCGAAGATATGGAGGTGAGTGAGGTGTGATGACTTTCGGGTCTGTTTCGCCGCACGCACCCATAGCGCCAGCTGGCTGACGCGCCCTGTCGTCAGGCTGAGGACGATATCGTTACCAAGATTATGTAAAAGTGTACGGAACGCACTGTCGCACCTCACCTTCTGGCCCTCCGTCACCGCCGTCCCAAGAGTTCCCACTGACCGCGCCTGATGGCTTCCAGAACGCGGATGAATTCAAAGGCCGACTTCGAGAGAGCGGCATCTTGTAGACCCGATCCGGCATCCGCATACGAACACACATTGTACGGCGTTATTGGAGTTTGGGGTAGGGCTACGGCACACAGTCGACTGTCACAGCACGGCTCATGCTAAACAACTTTCCAAGGGCAGGCGTCAAGAGCGAAACGATATCACACGGCGCAGGGGTTGGATCATCTGGAGAACGCACTACCTGCCATCCTGCCTTGTAGAGCGGATGGCGGTAGCTGTACTCTATCTACTACAATTCATGCACCTCGGACTGGCGGGCTTGCTCGACACAGCTAGGTTTGACACAAGCGGTTCAAGGGCTCGAACGTGATCACACATCATGATATCGAGACTTCACCCTGATAGACTTGACAACTCTCTCTCCCTTTTTTCTTTTTCTTTATGCTGGTACACTTACCTTATTCATCTAGCTACAGGTCTCCACACCGCCGAGACACTGCGCACCTGCACTTCGTGACAGCAATTGGTTCGGATCAGCGTTTGGTCCTTCATCCAGAACCTTGACATGCATTCATCAAATGATACGTTGCCGAATTCACGTGGATTCATCTCCAGGCATCTTCTATCCTTCACGTGCTCGACCATCAGATGACATGCCCCGCGTACCAGACACACTCGGCATGGCCGCAGACAACTAACATCAACACTCAACACCAGTCGCCTACCCATCCACTCTTATCGGCAGCTGTTGTTGGTTGAGAGGCAGGTTGCGCATCGACCAATCAGGAAGGACGACCCGACACACATGCCGCTGTTAGCTCGGCGACACCGCCAAGCTGACCTTCTCCGCAATCGCGACCACGTCGTTACAGCGACACCGACATCTCACACCACTACCACACCCAAGCCATACATATGTTCACTGCCTGCTAGACGATCGTCTGGCCGAACGACAGTACCCTCTCCTCTCCGCAGCCAGCCTAGAGTCGTGTTTACTTGTTGTATCGGTTCGCGCAGGCTACCCCCTCTCGACCACAGCCACACCCACGCCCAGCAGCCACGGTGCGCTGAATCATACCGCATCTCGAAGATTTCGGACCATACGCGATATATTCTATCAGGCACTCAGCCCAAGCCAGTCCACATCAAGCGCAATGAAGGTAAGTGCTCGATGCGATAAGGCCAGAGTGACGACATAGCTGACCCGGTGGCACCGTAGTACCTCGATTTGTGCGCCCTCCACGAGGTCAACCTCGCCCTCAACTTCGACACACAAGACACAGCAATCATCGGCGGATGCGATCTCTGGACGATTAAAGCAGCGGGAAGCGACAAGAAGCTGTACAAGCGCATCGAGAGGACGCTCGAGGAGCGGCACAAGGACCTGCTATCAGCGGTTGCGGGGCTGTCCGAGCAATCTGCAGCTCAGTTCGCAGACCAACTCGACATCTCCCGAGACACGCCGTTCGGGTCCTTCAGCGAAGCAGCAAACCGTCACACCTTCGCATACCTCATCGCGACGCTCAATGCCACACACATCGATTACGACTTCGCGAACACGCTGAACCCTGATGAGTTCCGTCGCGAGACCATCCACAGCTTCATGCACAAGATCGACACTACAATGTACTATCTCCGTCCGCAAGTTTACTCCGCCGGACTACCAGCGGGCGCCGTCACACCACTTGGCTCACCGATATGGAGTCCGCGGAGTTGGCACCTGCTCGATACGGAGATGGACATGTCGAGCTGTGAATACTATGCATGGGAGCCGTCAGATGACCCCTTCGCTGATGACGGTGCGATTTGGAGTCACCACTTCTTCCTGTACAACAAGGAGCGGAAGCGAGTCGCATACTTCTATCTCCGTGGGATATCGGCTTTGTCGAACTCACCAAGTGTCGCCATGTCGCTCATGTCGAAATTCAAAGCATCAAAATACGAGTCCAGTGCGAATGCGGGCAGTAGGAAGCGCGCGGAATACTGGCTCGGCGATCGTGCTAGGAAGGGACTTGAGGCATATGGAGACAGTGATGAGCTCGACAACATGGTCATTGACCACCCTGGCGATGTCGTCGATGCAGAACAACAGCGGTACCTGCCAGCCAGAGACATGAGCATGGATGCCGAGTACTACGAGAGCGATGACGACAGCGACGTTGAGTCACTGGTAGACCGAGAGAGGGCCGTGAGTAAGATA